CGCTGCGCCAGGCCGCCAGCTGGCCGTGCCGAGTGCTGCCAAAACGGCCGAGCCAAGCATTCAGCTGGTGGCGGGCTTGGCTGGTGCAGGCACATGCATGGCCCTATCCCAGGCCCCAGCCGGCAGCAGCAGGCAGCGGCAGCGCCCCGCTGGCACATGGCGGTGTACGGGCGGGGCGGGTGGCCCACGGCGGCTGGCGCTGGCCGCACCTTGCGGGAAGCGCGCCTCTGCTATGCTGTGGTCCACCACATCATCCAGCTCCAGGCTCTCCAGGTTGGGCGCCAGCTCCAGCCACGGCGCGGTGCACCCCGGCACCTGGCACTCGCTGGACTCGCCCGCCACGCGCAGGTGCTGCAGGCCGCGGCCGACGACGCCCAGCACCGCCAGCACGGCGGGCCACGCCGCCGCCGTGCTCATCTCCACGTGCAGGCTGAGCACCCCTCCCTCGCGGCGCACGAAGAACTGGTAGAGGTGGGCCATGGAGAGGGTCTGCTGGAAGTCTGCTGGGAAGGCCAGGTGCACCTGCTCCCACAGGGGGCTGGGGATGTTGGCCAGGGCCCTGAAGCGGCGGCAGACTAGCGGGATGACGGCCTGCCGCTCTGCCGGTGCCAGCAGCTTGAAGAGGTGGACGAGGGCTGAGTCTGGCAGCAGCAGAATGGCACCCTGCCCGCATGGCCGTTGTAGCTGCGCCATGCTGCTGCTAAAGATGCTGGGCGCCTTACTGATTGGGCTGTGCGCCAGCCGCAAAGAGGAGGGGCCAATTTCGCTGCTCACCGCGGGTGTAGGGTGCGACCCATGCGATGAGGTGGACTCGGTTTCCTCGCAGACCCCACGCTGTGGCCTCGTGCCGGTGTGCATGCTGTCACCGGTGCCCCTAATCATGATTGAAAACAGGGTGGTCAGGCGTGGAGGCAAGGGCGAGCGGCTCCTGCCAATGGGCACCTCTCAATGGGTTGACGCCAAGCCCCAGGCCTTATCTAGGCTGCTCTGTGTACAGAATGAGGACTGGGAAAGACAAAAGTTTGGGTGACAAACTTTCAGCTTCTGCTGGTACCGGCTGAGGCAAGATGGTGTTTGCAGGCACATGACTGCTTTTGGGGAGGCCAACCTTGCTTCCACGCCACTGCTGCGCCAATTGCATGCACGCGTAACTGCTGGAAAACCCGGGTGTCAGAGGCTGCCGACGCCGCCAGCTTGCACTGCGGCGCTGGCGCCGGCGCACCGCCATGCATTTCCGCTCACCCGGCTGCACAACAGAACACCAGACTGCCAGGAGACATGCGCTCATGCATGCCGCTTGGAGGTGGCAGTTACACAGGCGGACCTTTGCAGGCATGCACTCGCCCTAGCCACGCACCACCGCGCGCTATCAAACACATCAAGTAGTTTGGGTCACTCCCGATGTTCTGCTGCTCCCCATCACTGCTACTATTCTGCCGGGCTTAGTCACCTTGCGCCGCTCATCCTCTGCTGCTCCTCTCCTCCTCCTCCTCGCTGCTGCTGCTGCTCTCCTCGCTGCTGCTGCTCGCCTCCTCGCTGCTGCTGCTCTCCTCCTTTCTGGGGCTGGCGCCTGCTTGAACACGAGCAGCTGGCGCCACATGTGCAGGTTCCTCCTCGCTGCCGCCACTCTCGTCATCGCTGTTGCTGTGCTCCTCCTCGCTGGTGCTGGCATATGCCCCATACCCAAGGCCAACCGCACGTAAAGCTTGCAAATACCCTGAAAGCTCACCACCGCTGCTGCTGCTCTCCCGCTCGAGGTCGCTCTCTTCCTCGCTGCTGCTGCTCTCCTCCTCGCTGCTCGCATGCCAGGGATCCTCATTGTCGCTGCCCTGGTGCCAAGCCACATGCCCAGGATCCACCTCTACCAGCAGAACCTGCAGGCGGAGCAGGGCAAGGCACGTGAGCTGCGAACGGCATCGCCTGGCCCCATTGCATGGACCTACCTATTTCACCATTATGCAAATGGGGGCTGATCCCGTTGTTGAGCCATGGGCTGCTTGGCTGCCCATGTTGGGCGCACCTGTGGAAACCTGGATGCTAGTGTAGCCCGCTGGAAGCTTCCAAACCCGGAATCGGAAGACATGGAAAGCATCCTGCAAGCCGCAGCAGCAAGTGAGCACCCAGCCCATTGAGCCTCCGCACCCCTCTGTACAGTTTCTGAGCAGGAGGCACTGGCTGCAGCAAGTAGAGCAGCAACAGGGTGGGCAGGCGCACCGCATTTGGGGGTTGTTAATGAGGAGCTGGCGCACATCCCGCGATGTCAGCCTCATCTTGTCCTGATCGGAATCTTCTTGTGGCAATGCGCGCCTCCCCTCCACCCGGAGCAGCTGCAGGCTGGTGCAGCTGAGGAGCGAGGTGGGCAGCTCCTTGAACCTGCAGCGCGGCAGCAGGCAGCGTCGCACCTCGTGTCAATGCATGGGTTCCGCTCGGTGCGCACAGGATTCAGGGACGCCGCAGGCCAGGCTTCTTCTGAGCCCCGCTTGCTGCAAGCGCCCCAACCATACCTGTTCCAACTGATATCCAGAGCTGTCAGGTGGGAGAGGTAGGGGCCAGCAGGCAGCGTGGTCAGCAGGTTGCCTAGCAGCTTCAGCCGCCGCAGCTGCGGGAGCGAGACGATGCATGCTGGCAGCTGGACGAGGGCACACTCGCCCAGGACCAGGTCTTGCAGGCTGCGCAGCCGCCCCAGGACGGCCAACTGCAGAACGCAGCAGAGGCAAATCAAGTCAAGTGAGCTGGCGACAGACAAGCAGCTCGGCACATGTGCAACAGCCGTTGACTCTCAGGCAACCCTTGCCTCACCCCTTCGGGCTTGACAAGGTTGTTCGACAGATCCAAAGCTGACAGCTTGACAAGGCTGGTCAGCTGCGAAGGCAGCGTCATCGAGCCCTCCCGCATCTCCAGCCGCTGCACCATGTGGCCCAGACAGCACATGATTATGCTCAGCAGCGCAGGGATCCATGCCCTCTGATCGTGTACGAGCCCGCATACTGGGCAGGGGGGCAAAGCAAGTATCACACCTGGAGTGCGGTGAGGCAGCTCAATGGCGTCAGTGGGTGGCGGTGGGGGCCCAACGGGTTGAAGTTCACTTGCCGCAGGGACAGCTCACGCAGCAGGGTGAGCTTGGACAGGCCCCTTGGCAGCTCATGCAGGCGTTCCTTGAAGTAGGGTTTCATAGACAGCTTCTCCAGCCCTGCAGCATGCACCATGCAGGAAGTCTGCCAGCCTCCGGGGAGCGCGCAGCGCAGCTCTCCACGGCGGCAGTGTCCTCGCACCACCCTACCAACACGAGTCGTGCATGCCCCGGGTGCTGCGCCGCAAGCAGCTTGGTCGGTTGCACACCTGGTGGGAAAACAGAGCAGTCCTGAACCAGCGGCAGATTGTCGTAGTCAAGGTGCAGCGCTTTGAGGTGGCGCAGAACCGCCAGCCATGCCAAGCTGGTCAAGCCCAGCCTGCAACAACAGCGGCACCCCAAAGGAGAGGGCAGCGCAGCAGGCAGGTCGCAGCAGGTGGTGAATCCCATTGGCGCTGAGACTGGGCGTCCGCAGTCCTGCCAGAGCACAGCAGCTGCAGCACCTGCTCACCCCTCATGGCCCGCCTGCACCGTAAGCTGCTCCAGCGTGCCTGCCAGCAGGCCCAACACCAGGTGCGCAGACATCCAGTCCTCATCTGCGGGCTCCATGACAGGCAGATGGGTCAGGGGCAGACATGGCTGCAGTGCTGCAGCTAGCGGCAAACATCGACCAGCCGTTGGGATGATGGACGTTTGGCGACAAGAGCGAACGCGTTGGCTTGTACCTGTCTCCACCACCAGCGACAGGTTCTTCACCACGCCCCGCCTCTGCACGAACCAGCGATACATGGCACTGCTGTCCTCCACCATGCCGCTTGAGAAATCCACCTGCACATCCTCCCAGACCACCTGCGGCGCGGTGTCGCACACGGCACGCCACCGCCTGCAGACAGGAAGGGTGAGGTATGCTCAGGCCTGGAAGAGGTATACGAGGCTCAGCTGGATTGTACACAGCCGACTGCGTCTTGCTGGTGTACCTGGCCCGCTACGCACCTGCACACCAGCGGGAGACGGCGGCGGCCACTGGCAGGGACAGCACGAAACACCAGGGCCAGAGCGGAATCGTCCAGATCGTCCAGCTGGGTTGGTCGCCGACAAGGCGCCGTCTTGGACCTCATCTTGCGCTGTGTGGCTGTGCAACTTGGCCGCTCGACGTAAGACACAGTCGCTCTGTTCCGGTTCTGGGCGCGCAGACAGGTTGCGGCAAGGCAGATGCCGAGAACAAAGAGAAAATCGCCCCAGACTGGGTTTTCGACGTCGACGTGTGGTACAATTCATGGAGGCGCAGTACAGCCAGCCAGCCTCCCACCTCAGGAGCTGCAAATGTCCCCCGGGTATCATTTCTTCTACTTCTCTTAAATATTTGACCAGGGGTCCATTGACCGGCCCCTACACTCGCCTCGATCGCCACCTCCAGCACATGGACAGCCTAGAACTGCCGCCAACGCTCCAGGGGATGCTGGATGGGTTGCACAGGGAGATCACGGGAGCGGAGATCGCCAGCTCGATGAGGCGGCTCCTGCAGCAAGGTCGGGCGCATACGCTGCCCCGCCGCCCACCTCCCGCATGCTGCCACCCCCGCCTCCTCACCCTGCCCCTGCACCCTGTACACCCTCCTTTCTGCCTGCAGCCCAGAGCCCGTTGTCGCTGGTGCGGCAGGATGCCTATGCCACCCTTGCGGCCAGCCTGGATGCCTACTTGTCAGACCCTGGCCGCGCCGCCGCGGTGCTGCCGGCGCTGGGCCGGGTGTGGCCCGAGCTGCTGCAGAGCATTGCCATGGGCCTGCGGCAGGCGTCCACCACCAGGCCCGCCGCGCAGACACCCAGCAGCGCGGGCAGCGGCACGTTCGTTGCGGCGGGGGGGACGACGGGTGGCGGCGCCGGCGCCTCGTACCGCGCCGTCACCGCAGCAGAGCTGACAAGCATGGTCCACGTGCTGGAGCTGGCCTGCCTGCTGGCCCTGCAGGCGCGGCAGGCCAGCCTGGCGGCGGGCCTGCTGCCGCTGCTGCTGGCGCAGCTGCCGGCAGCGCCACCCGAGCTGGCCTGCGCCTGCCTGGATGCCTGCCTGGCCATCCAGCTGCGCCACCCGCCCGGCTTTGTGAGCTTTGCGGAGCAGCAGGGCGTGCAGCAGGTGTGCCTGCTGCTCAAGGACAGGGCAACATCGGAACCGGTGCGGTCCCACGCCGTGCAGTTCCTGAACCTGCTGCTCACACAGGTGGGTGTTCCGTGCGGGGCTGGCAGGGGCCAGCTGGCCCGGGCGCTAGGAGGCCTGTGGGTTGACCGTCACGCGGTTAGTGCTCCATCTCTGCTGCCTGACAGCCGCAATATTCCATGCAGTCAGCAAAGTGAGTCGGCTGTGAGTGCTGGGCGGTCAGGGCTGAGACAGCTGGCAGTGTGTGACCACTGCAACCCCTTGTCCCACCGCTGCCCTGCAGTTGGTGCCCGAGCTGCTGCCGCCGGATGCGCTGCCGCCTCCCAGCCCGGCGCCCGCCACCCCTGGCGCCACGCCGGGCGCTACGCCGGGCGCCAGCCAGCGGCCGGCACCCACCGAGGGCCAGCCGGAGCAGCAGGCGGCGGTGGTGGCGGGGCTGGAGGGCGCCAAAGAGGCGGTGGCTGCCACGCTGGGGCGGGAGGCGCGAGCCATGCTGCTGCGGCGGGTCAGCCTGTCGGACGGTACGGCGGAGCAGAAGCTGGGCCAGCTGTCCAACGCGCTCACCCTCTTCATTGAGAGCGATGCATAGGTGCAGCACGTCCGTTAACATAGCCCGGCTGGGAAGCTTCCTTGGCGCAGTGGCCAGCCATTTCAGCGACCAGCCATTTGGTGCTTGTGCCGAGCACAATGACCCGGTAGCTGAATTGATTGAATTCCACGAGCCAGGACGGAGAGTTCCCGTCGACCACACACAGTTTGGCGGGCTGCACAGAAGTGTTGGCGGCGGGAGGCGGCGCCAGCTGGCGGGACAGTGCCACAGCCATCTGTCAGAGCGCTCCATAGCGACGGGCAAGGCAGCAATGCCCAGCGCGTTCGAGCCACTTGCATCACTCCAATCCAACTCTTCTGCGCCTTGTCGCTGCCACGACCAACTTGAGGTCGGCGAGACGGCTCCTGGGCTCCACCGTAACTCTTCGCTACCCCAACACGTTGCTGATCAATAACTGAAGTATAAGACGGACTTGTGAGTTGTGCAGGTGTGCTGTTGTGGGGTTATGCTTCGCGGCATGTGACAGATGGCACGCTTTGTGGCGCGTTGCCAATCGGATTCAAGGCCGCGCCCCTCAACTTTTGAGGGCTAACTTATGATTGGGTGCGCGCAAGGGGGCATGCAAGCCCTGCAGTGTCCCGCTGGTGGTGCCACCGACCGCCCCCTTCCGGCCCGCCGCTTGCATTGCAGGGAGCATACCAATGAGGGCCACATGTGCTGGGATCATTGCGGCGTTCTGCGTCGCGGTGGCGGTAAGCTGAGCAAGGGGAACGAAGAGGGCGCTGCATCACCGCATAGCCCCCTGCCCGCCGTGGTACCCAACGTTGCCGCCCCCGTGCCTGCAGCTGCTGGCAGCGGTCACGTCGCTGGCAGTTGTGGCCGACTTTGTGGTGGAGAAGCACGAGAGCACGCTGATGTGGTGGGAAATAGTTGTAATTTCCTGTGCGAGTGTCAGCGCCTTTGCTGCCATGGTGCTGATGATGTTCCAGGTGAGAGCGGGTGGCAGGGTGGTAGTGTGTATGCGTGTGGCGGGGCCTGAACTAACTTTGACCGAAGCAGCCCCATGCTCACGCCATGCGCCACCAGCAGGAGATGTGCAGGCATGCCCAACGCGGTTGCAACCCCCTTGCTGTGCTGCGCTGCAGGGCGGGCGCTCCGACCGCGGCTGCGCGGGCCCGCGCTCCAAGCTGGGCGTGGTGGCCAGCCTGGCGGGGGCCGCCGCCCACGTGGGCATGCTGGCCGCCTACTCAGCGTACCTGTGCCGATACTGGAGCCTGGCATCATGGTACGGCGCTGCTTACATCGCCAACAACCTCAGCGCGAACGCGTACAGCTCCGCGGCCGCCGTGCCCACCACCTCCCTGACCACCACCGCCGCCCTCACCACCAGCCTGGCCACTACCCACAACGCCTTTGACTACTTCTCCGACTGGGCAGCCAAGTGGCAGGTCATGTACGTGTTTGGGTGCGCCATCGGCGCCGCCTTCTGGCTCCTGGCGCTCATCTTCGCCTGCTGCGACGCGGGGGCCGCCCAGCGCCGCCAGGTGCGCGTGTGGGGCTGCTAGGGCAAGGCCATTTGCATGTGGTGTGGAATGCGTGCCTCCCCAAAATGCTCCACCTTGTTAAAGCGGGACGGCATGCCTGCTGATGTCAACATGCTGGGCGTGCTGTGCTGTGCTGGTGCAGGGAGCGGAGGAGCGCATGGCTGAGGCCGCCCAGCCGTTCAAGGGAGGAGCCTTGACCGCCACCCACAGCGCTCCGCCACCTGCCGACAAGTTCGTAATGGTGCCCGTGTGACCGCGTCGCCACCGCCTGATTCCTGCCGATTGCCCTACTATTCACTGCCCTTTCCCTGTTCACTGTTTGTTCACTGCCTGCTCCCACTATTCAACCCAGTATAGATACCAGTGCTGTTTCTAATCCCGGCGACAGTTGCAACAGAAGTGTTCAGCCAGCTCTGACAGCGGGTGCCGGCCTAGCAGTCCTACATGGCACCCAGCAGACGTCTTCTGTGTCTTACACACAACAGGTGGTGGCATAACAAAGCGGTCTAGGGTGCAGGGGAGAAGACAGCCAGCAATGATGGATCCGACGGGGGGAGGGGCTTGTCGGGGACGTGCCGGCCCAATGGAAGCAGCGAGTGCCACCAAAAGGGGGCAGCAAACAGATCAAAAAAGAATG